CTGATGCTTGAACAGGGTGTCAGAAGAAATTGTCACCAGCTGGGTCATGGACATAAAATGCAGACTTTTACTAGGCAAAGAGCAAGAAAATAATATGCCACGGGAAATTAAAAGATGTCAAGCTGGTATTCCACCACTCGTAGGTTGGCTGCCCCAGATATTACGGTAATTGCATAACCCACATTCAGTTTCAATTTGAGCCATGGAGCCTAAAATTCTTTTTATCTGTCAAGAGACGGACTGTCACAAATAGGACAGTTTGAAAAACGGGTTAGCAATTTCTTCTCATACACAAGTGATGTCTTTCTTCACTACCATAAATACAAGCTAACAATGAGGCTGATGTCTCCCGCCAAAATAAATAGATGACACATATTGATTAATTGCACATTTATCTTTGAGCAATCAAACTGATTAGGCATAAAATGTTCACGACCAAACTCGGTCAGGTTTTGAAGTACCTGGAAGTGAAACTATACACTTCATCACTTATCTTGTCCCAAAGCATCGAGCAATGAAATTGCTTAGCTCTGCTTAGCTTTAGTGGGAAATGTAAATTGTTGAACTTAATCAAGACATTCACCTAATAAACATCTACATCAAGTTGAAACATTCTACCACAATTAAAAGAGTTGTTACGTTCCAAAGTCTTGACCAATCAAATTGCTTATCGCTAAAGACATTTCTTAGGTGGTGTTTCTTCCGTTGCCTCCAAAATTCTTAGGTGGCGTCTCTTCCGTTGCCACCAAAATTTTATATTTCAACGGGTAGCCCTCGACAGTAAAATGTCAAGAGCAAATCACTGAATAGCGTGAAACAAATCTAGTCCATTGCTTTAAATGTAATGGATTCTTAAAAGGAAATTTATGGAGGGAAACGTCATCATGTAGGGTTGTATACCCACAACGATAAGCTACGTATCGATTGCCCGATCTTTTGGCGCCATTTGAGGTACTTTCAAGTTCATCAGCGTCCGCCATATCTGTGGAATACCATTGTTTATTTACGTTTGCGATTACACACATGTGACGTCACACGGCCCCTTGCTACAGGTGAGATTTATGGTTTTGCGGCTGTATCGAGAGAATGAATTGATGGATTTCGTTTAAACTTTCAGGACGCATGTTGGATATAATAATAACCATCATCCAGGGACACCTCGTACCAAAAACTCTACGCATCATTAGTCTGAACACTTACAAAACAATTTTAAATCTAGCAAATTCTGTCATACCAGGTGAAAAATCTAGCAGAGTCTGTCATACCAGGTGAAAAGGTATGCTGTGAATGTCTTATCAATCTTACAAAACAAGAAGTTGTCATCGAAGATGTAAAGGAGGACATAGATGTAAGTACGCCAGAAATATCACAAGAAAAGACCCAACTCATGTCCAGATCTAAATTCCACATTAACCAGCTTGAATGAAACACCACTAAAAATCCAATCCATGCAGTAAACGAATAATTTCATGAAATTATTAGTCTGTTAACGTTGTAAGATGTGACATTGCAAGGATTGCCCTGGTCGTGATGGATTGATTAATTATATCAATAACTGTGAAGATGTTCACGAGGTAACCAAATTGGCCACCATAACAGAAATGAAGATCGATTTCATTGGAACTACTGCAAAATCTCAAAGTTACAATATGAAACAGCTAAAGTCATCCATGAAACCAACGGAGGAAATCATTCTCCAAGATTTTGAAGAAAACTACTCATACATCGTCCAGGATGAGATTCAGAGAGCAAACAGGCAACGTTACACCCATTTGTTACATATCGGAGACTCGAAGATGGTACACTACATGCAAAATTGTATATAGTGATGCGAGGGAGCATTCTACAATCACCGTCTATGCATTCTTAAAAGCTGCGATTCCCGGGGGAGGGGTTAGATGGCCGAATGGTTATCACGTGCGTGCTGTATCATAAGGTTTGTCATTGAGTCAACTGGCGTGGTTTCGAATCCCCGGTTGTACGTGACAAGGGGTAGGGTCGCCTGTCCAACCTTGTGGGTTTTCTCCGGGTCTTCCGGTTTCCTTCCACTGCTAAAGACCACTACGCACAAGCGAATTAGTGAAATAAAATTGAACCATGTGTTAGTCCCGAAATGACCTAGTCTGTGTCGAGTGGACGTTAAACCCTGTCTCTCTCCCATTCCCCAGCGGTGTCGAATGGCGAAGGCCAAACAAACAGGGATGATGCCACTTGATGATGGGGATTCCTTTATTTCGGGGGTATTATTTTATGGTGCTATAAAAATTACAACTACCGGGAAATTCACAACGAAACGAAGAAATGGCATGTGCCGATAATACGAGAAGGCGTATATTTTAAATGCCATTTAAAGGCATGTCTTCTATTCACTTAATTCATTAAATATTCGCTTATGTTAATAATTCTACGCTGATGAAATAATAATTATTTATTTGAAGTTTTCGACCGCACCCCGGACACAAAAGAACAATCCATGTTATGAAAGCATTGGAAAGTTGTGTTCAGGACACCCCAAATCGGTCAGCGAATTAAACCGTCCATGGGTACAGTTGGCCGTCAATTAATGGCCCGTTGGACATATTAGCTAATTCTTTATTTAGGGTACCAAGGCACAGTGCATCATTCTCTTGACTGTGACCACCGCTTGTAACGAATAGGGTTACACACCTCGGGTAGTCCCTTCCAGTGCCTGATGTCTGAAATATTTGTTCATGCATGACTTGTCGATGTTGTAATTCTCGTAAAAAGTTATCTTCTTTCTTATCTAACTTACCTTTCTTAATAAAGCAGTTATAGTACTCTTTGAAATTGAAAGTTCTTTGTTCGAAGTATTTCACCCTGTTTCTTAGACCGTTAATTCCATTAGACTGTGAAGTGACTAGCAACGGTAATATCGTGATCGTGTATGCTTGAGATGATTGCACCCAGATTAAAATGTGCTTAACTGTCAAAAGAACTTGACAGCTTCCACATTCTGGTTGGGGCTCTCGCTTCAAGATGAAAACGCGAGTTAAAAAGGTATAAAGAATGAACATCGAAGTATTTTAGGTAATAAAGAATACATATTGAAGTAATGAATATCGAAATAAATTAGGTTATAAAGAATGAATATCAAGGAATTTAGATTATAAAGCATAATTGAGGTTATAAAGATTGAATATCGAAGTAATAGAATGAATCTCAAGGAATTTAGATTGTAAAGAAGGGATTAAATTATTAACAATGATAATCGAAGGAATTTAGATTGAAAATATAAAGAATGAACATCAAAGTAATCGTTTACCATAATGCGGTTTAGCGCTAATAACTCCTATTCGCAAGCGAATTATTGAAATAATATTATTCATTGGAAAATATGTAGCTTTATGGATTCCACTACAGGTATTGGTTGTCTGACACTGTTTCGACAATGGGGAATCGCAGTTGAAAAGTCGATAGTAAAACAATGCCAGTAATTAAAATCCATAAAGGTAACTATTTTCGATTACCTACTAACTGTCCTGAAGATTGTCCCGAGTTATAAATTGACATTTCACCTTCAAAATAATATGATTAAGTTGTTAAAGTACTGCTTTTCAACGCTGGCAGAATCATTATAAGATCTGAAATTTGTACCCTTGAAGCCCTATGTATGTAACAGGGCCAAATGTGGTCATAAAATAAAATAATTTGAAATTGTGCTGTATATGTGATATTCCACTTCTGACTGGGTGAATACACAAGTTTCATGTATTTGAACAAGAGAGTGACAGCCTGTCCGAAGTTTTAAGGTAGACAGTAGGCCAAAGAGACGGACTGTCATATTACGTATTGTGTTTAAACAAACATGATAGAAATTCGACTTCCAAGAATGGTACTCAGGAGAGATTTGATTGGACGATGAAAGTCCTAGAGAGGGATTTCTCGGGCCATTGTGCTCCAGGAATATGATGGCAATGGAATCGGTGAGAACTTTGCTGATCCCCTCCCTCGGTTTTGAATGAAATATTAGACTGAAGATCGGGCACAGAATACAACAATTCGCGCAAGAACAGATACAAATGGTTAGGAATATACGGACTGTTAAACTTTAAAGAACCCAAAACATATTCCCGCCTTTTTGTGTCGATGTCTCCAAATATAAATGCCGAAAAGCTTGTCATTGATTGTGGCGGAGCGAGAACGCGATTTATTCAAAGGCGAGGGAGCGAAATGTCGAAGATTTTCAAAGGCGAGAAGTTAGGGGCACCTGAAGTTCTATATCACGTGGTTTTGGTGTAGTACGTCTAAGGGGATGCTCGATTGAACGTTCCGGAATTGAATTCTCTCAATCCCAAAAATTTTGTCAATCGAGTGAACAGGAGAATTTCGGAGTACAACGCATGTGCCGACTGAACCAATCATGGCAGCTGAAACATATTTGCTATTTAAATTACGTCACGATTCTATTCACACCACCTCAGCTGTCGGTACTGGCAGAACTGTGACAGGACTTAATTCCGTATCACTTGTTCCGGACTGACAATCGAGCATCCCTTATGTTTCTCGTATAGCCTGACTAAATACCACGTGCTGTTTAAGGTACCGGAAGTTCTACAACACGTGGTTTTGGTGTGGTACGTGGTTAGATCGATTTCATAATGTCAACCTTCAAGTTTGGTCAAAGGTCACAAAATATAAACAGGGCTACGGCTTATCTCAACCCTAACCTACAATGTCGCCAACAATCACGGGCCCTAACCTTATTTATATCTCAGCGACCTTGACGAAATCTTGAGTTGGCCTTAAAAAATAGATCTAGCCTGTAGTACGTCTGTCTATGTATCTCGTATAGTCTAATACCAAGTGTGTTAAAGGTACCGGAAGTTGTACATCTTTTGTTTTCTGTATCCAACTCGTAAAGCCTGTCTAATAGCAAATGATGTTAATGATACCAGCATTGTAGGTATGATGTTTAGTCTCTGTTCTTTTCAATAACTTTCACAGATTTATTTATTACCACCAACACACAACAACACGTGTACAACCGAGAGTGGTTTATTGTTAAAGGTTGGTGTCAAATATCCATTAGAAACCCTCCGGATTCAAGATTGTAGATGATTAAACATACATTATGCAAGAGCTAAATCTGTCTGTTGCAGGTCTTTCTTTAGGCCTGAAATGTTATCTAAACTATTAATTAGACATTAATTAACCTATCCAGACCATAATCAACTCTAGATGGTTATGCTAGGCTGCGATCTTTAGTGGATTATGAGCCGATTTACTGCATAACTTTCCTTCACGATTTAACGATAAAATGACTTTAGTAATGATGATCGAGGCTAGGCGGAAATTTCAACCGCTTAGTTCTCTGTTCATGGTGGATCAATTTAAATGAAATTTTCAGCGAATTGCCTTTACATTATCTAGTTTTTAACTATTGTAGTGAGAACTACTAACTCGTTATTTAATCTCCCATAATGTATCTTTAAGTTCCATGTTGTTTAGTTTGCCGTTGGTACTGGTGGTATACACCGACCTTCTATATATCCATAGGGTTCAGTTACTACACACTTACATGTGTAACCATCCAACACAACCGTCGTATTGTAAGAAATAACAGTCTGATTCTCCCAGCCTGGCGGTTTCACATAACAGTTCCGACCTGTGAAATATTAAAAAAAAAGAAGAAGAAAATCAGTTAAATCTAACGGATAACCTGGGATAAAGATAAAATTAAATCTCCGCTCAATACAAAGCCGTTAATTCCAGGAATAGTCTATGATGTACATTTATTGTCCCCGCCTTTCGAAGAAAGCAGGAGACTATTGAAATGGGTCCGTCCGTCTGTATGTCAATTTTTTGGGACACGATAACTCTTTCATATTAAGCTAGAATGTTCACACTGATGGGGTTCGAATATGAGCATTTTCTGTTTAGGGTAAGCAGAGATAAGCAATTTGATTGGTTGATGCTTTGGGGCACAATAACTTGGGTTTTAATGAAGTGAGAGAGATGAAACTCTTAATATAGATTCATTATATCATTACCTTGAATAATTTTATTGGTGAGAATTTTCTGCTAAGGAGCGGCGACCAATTTGATTGGTTAAGACTTTGGAATATACTCTACTTTTAATTCGGGTATAATGTTTAAACTTGATGTAGATGTTCATTAGGTGAATGATTAACATTTCGAGCTAAAGCTGAGCTAAGCAATTTCATTGGTCTATGCTTTTGGGACAAGATAACCTTGATGCATTCTGATAGAGAGTGACGAAACTTTATGTATGTTTGATTGCTCTATACTTTTGAAAAAAAAAAAATAATACATGTGCGATGAATTAATATGTGTGTCATCTGTTTATTTTGGGATTTCGGCGGGGGACATCAGCCTGGCTTGTTTTATAATTCGATAGTGTACGAGATAATAGTAACGGATGGTAGATCGCAACCCACATTAACGTAATCCCACATGACAAACCCACTGCCAAGACACAGTCTACAATCAAAGCCACCCAGATACACAGCAACAACTGTATAATTTATCAGCTGAAGTGAATGGATCCGTGGGAGTGGCATAATCATCCGCAGCTCTGTACAGTGACGGGGCCTGCCTCAAAGTGGGTGGTGTTTAACGTCCTACTTTTCTGCACCGAAAATGCAGACGGGTGTTGTGCTCATATCGAATTCCAATTCTCAATGGTTCTTGTAGGTGCTCACCAACGTGTGCACGGGACCTCAGTGTTCGGCCCCATCCGAACGACTAGACAACTGTCCCTTCTTGCCATTAGGACAGGTAGGTCAACAAATACAAAACTAAACTAAAAGTAGATAATATAAATAATGTTATGCACATCTTACCATTAGGACAGATAGAGCAACAAATACCATCACCCGCTATGTAAAGTGGATCAACACATTCTTTCTCAAAGCAATCAATAATATATTGGCTCGCGTGATATTGTGAAGAACATGTGCACATATCACAATCTGATATATAATGAGTATGTCCTGGAACTGTGTATAGTCCGTCATGGCAAAGACATTTTGGGCCTGGATATGGAAAACAACTTGCATTGGCTGGACTGGGACCATTGCATGAACATGCATAATCACGAAGAAAATGTATATTATGATCTGCAGGAATTATGCCTCTGTCGAATTCTCCTGGACCATTGTTAGCTTCACAATCTGGACCTAAAATGCACAACATAGAAGAGACAACATAAAGTGAGTTTTGTTAGCTTGTTTTTCTCACCTGTTCAACAATCATGGCCGTTTTCCAGGGAATCCTGCATTTTTCTAACACGATTGGGTGTCTACTTTCCTTATATTCCAAATATGCTATACTTTTATTGGAAATAACTACCTTATAGATACATTCGTGGGATTTAAATATCCACAAGATTAACGATAAAATGTTCAATTGAGACTCCGTTGTTACGATAATGAAAGATATACCCTATATCTCCAGACAGTCACAAATTCATACATCCTCTTTGCATCCGTAAGTGTTGTGGGATCGGGCCTTAACGCACATAGTATATATATTTCGTACCTTCTGTCTGTATGAGTATTGTGCTTGATAACGATAAGAGAATCATTGTTGAAACGTAGCTTTAATAGAAATACAGTAATTGTTATCCAAAAAAAAAAAAAAAAAAAAATTCGCACAGAATAAAGTAATTGGAATGAAATTTTCAATATATTCATATTATAGCAAGACTGCTCAGCTCTTTATCAGATCGTACATAATGTATCTAAAGAAATGAAAGAACCCATTCCAAGAAAAAAACACCAATAATGGAAATGAAATGGGTTTAACGTCCTACTGTTTTGCTCCGAACTGGGCTAACGAAGACAGGCATTAAGGGAAATTTTGCCCGGACAGCGGCACTACGGCCTACTCTTTTACGTGCACGCCAATGTGTTTTTCGTCTCATCCGAATGACTAGACAGCTGACAAGGGGGAACCACGCCGGAAAATCGGGATGAATTTTCTCGGCCAATGCAGGGATCGAACACCCGACCTCCAGACTAGCGAGCCAGCGTCTCACCCACCATGATCCCCAAACCAATAATGACAGTCACCCCATCCGCGCATGGTTCCACAAAATAAGTGTTGGTTACGATGTTTTCACCTTACCTTTAGGACAGGATGGACAGCAAACTCCATCTCCTTCTACAGAATACGGTTCAACACACCCTGGTAGAGAACAGTTGATATGATCAGTGGATACACCGTCTTGTTCGTTACATTTACATATATCACAATCTGTAACCTTATGAGTCTGTCCGGGAAATATACCCGTTCCATCACTACAGATGCAAGGAGGTGGAGGTGATGAAGGCATGGCCAGCGAAGAGTCTGATAAAAGCGATATCAATACAATTTGAGAAATCATCTTGTTCGTAAGTAACGCAAGTGTTTGTCAGGTGAAACATTGGCTGCTTTTATATTACCCAAGAGCATCATTAATTCATATAGCCTAGCCGGTGCAGACAGGTAGGATTTAAACCCTTCGTTTTAACAAGCAATATGCTACATGCCGCCAATCTCTTGTTTTCAAATTCAAATTAATATATGTCATTCTATACAGAAATATGACACTTTATGACGTGTTTAGTTGTAACAATGCATATCAATCTTCTTCTACCTGTAAATTACAATTTAAATCAACAACACTATTATATCAAACATGATGGTTTTTCCCGGTGGCTTAAAGAGATGCATTCGGAAGGGGGGGGGGTCTGATGTCGCCCTTGCGCTGCGATGCGATTGGTTTTGGTGCTACCCAGAGTTGCATGGATAGGAGAAATATTTCCGATGCGACTGTGAAAAGTCAGCTGCGGTTAGTCGTACAGATCAGTCGTAGCGACATAAGCTGTTTTGCATCTGACTGCAACTAGTTTTGAGGAAATGGTTAGGCATCCGGTTTATTTCGTAGTTTTTCTCAGTGCTCCATTTGTGAACATTAACACGACCGACGACGTTATCGAAGAGGGTTTGGACAACAGCGCCATGCAATAACAATCTTTTAAGAAATTTATTGCTAACCCTAGCGTCGCCATTTTCTAGCGATCACATGAAAGTCATTCAGTAAATGGACATGATATAGTTATTTACCCTTATAAAAACAAATGCCGTTTCATTAGTAAGACTGGTTTATAAACTCTTTTTTGATTGGTTTGTAGACTTTAGCTACAATCAAGGCCGGGGCAGATAATTTGAAATCGTGGAAACCCCATGGATTAACCCAGGGATTAGTGGAGTAGAACGGAATGAGGCCAGTGGGGATACCTAGGATGGGTTAGACCTATGCCACAAGGTCAACTTAGTTAGGTCAAAGGTCACGAGATGCAACCAGGACTAGTGCTAATCTTAACCCCGGACCTAACCCACAATCTCGCGAACAATAACGTGCCCTAACCTCATTTACATATCAGCGACCTTGACGAAATCTTGAGTTGGCCTTAAGAATTAGATCTATCCACACGATAACACTATATTACCGGATATGTGTGACAAACATAATACAGGGTTTGGCTGCTGCTGGCTATCTAAAGATTATTCTACATGTTACTCAGAATGTTTTACTTAATATGTAATGATCTACCCAATTCGATCTAGTTTGCAGTGCCATAACACCAGGTACAATTTCATGGATAGACAATTATTCAAGAGCTACATTTGCTTATTGCCGGTTTTTCTTTAGGCCTTAAATGTTCTAGAAAGGATAAATTAGACATTTAACATGACAAGACAATAATCAACTCTCGATGACTTATATAGTTTGTGTTGAGTTTCATCTTATAGCCTGTTTTGCAAATACCTCGGTCTCTCTACCATCCACGAGATACCTCCCCCTAGGAGGCAACATCAATTTAGCATGGAGAGGTGTAAGTTCCCCACATATTAGAGGAACTCCAGTCACGAACCCAGAATTTAGTATGATATATTTATCACATCACGTACATCGGTAAAATGTCGAGCTCTGAAAAAACTTAGGTTTTCTCTGACTACTGCAAGAAGGGGGGGGGGGGGTACGTACATCGGTAAAATGCCGATCTCTGAAAAAACTTAGGTTTTCTCTGACTATTGCAAGAAGGTGCGTGTGTGTAGCGGGGGGGGGGGATTTCTCTCACTACTTTGATTGACCTATTTTGATAAAAACAAAAATTTGATCCATGTTGTGATAGAATTTAAACAACACTGACGGTACCAATACGCCGATTCGTCATGGTCATGATAAATTTTTAAGAGTTCTTTGACTCTCCTAGCATACCTCTTGTAAAGAAAAGGTTTGCGCACCCTGCTTAGTACCGTGTATCTGAAACACGTGTTCATGCTGTATAGCATTTGACACTGATGTACAAGATACTCCAAATCAATCAGATAAATCTCCATTGAGAGTACCAATACGCAGTTTCGTTATTGTCATGAGAATGTTTCTCCTATGTTTAAGCGTTCTTTGACGCATATCGCTTGTAATGAAACATGTGTTCATGAATGACTTGTCAGTGTTTTAATTCCTGTATAAGATTGAACTTTCTTATCTGACCTAAGAACGGGGTGAATTCTAAATTGGCTTTCTTAATAAATTAGTTACAGTACTCTTGAAATAGTAAAATTCTTTTTCGAGGCATTTCACCCGGTTCCTTGGTCTTTTAATTACAATAGATTGTAAAGACCCCTGTAAAACTGCAGATGCCTGGATATCCGAAATAGAGTAACTGTGGTCAGCATTACATCTTCGAGCTAATGGCTAGAATTCATAAGAACATTCATCTTTCTCAATGCAATTGTCATATTCAATAAAAGAAATTCTCGTTACTGCTTTACGACTTTCCTCTCATTTTTTTTTGGGGACATAATCCAGATTTTCACTTGCAGTAGGAAGCGTGCGTGCCATATTTTTTCTACTGTTCTCATACCCAAGGTAAAGTGAGGTATATTGGTCAGTAGCGGTTGGATGTCCATTAGCAAAGTGGACAGAAGAAATTCTCGAGAATCTGAAGTTCACTTTCGTCATTTTTACTATGACTTTGCACTTCTGGCTGTCCTCTCTAATTCTTTATGTTCAGTTGGGAACAAGAAAAAGGGGGGAATCACAAAAGCAAGAGGCGGTTCCTTTATTACAGTCATGGACATCACAGACGTGAGATCGCCATTCCTACAAGACCACATGGATTAATTCAATACACATCATAAACATCTGGTCATATTGACAACTCATACAACACCCAAGACGTAATACAGCCAGGACCTCTTGTTTATAGTTGACAACGCCTTTCTTAAAATGGTAAGGTGTTAAAGCTGTGTTACACAACAATACTCCAAAAATAGAAAACGCGACTGGCGAAATTGAGTGTATTATTCTCCTTTCAAGCATCTGTCAGTATGGGGAACACTGTTTACTGATTTAAATATTACAAATACAAATATTTAATTTGGTATAGTGTCTCTGCGGCATCTTTGGTAATGGTTGATCTGATAGACTTAATTCTATGGATCCCATACATCGCGGTTTTAGATTTCTGTTTAATGTGCTGAATGAGTGTTAACTCTTCATCCAGAGTCACACCCAGGTACTTGATACTTGGTGATCGATGGACGGTGTTGACGTTGATATATGAAGTCGTGTGACCAAATAATATAAATTCAGTTTTAGATGAATTCATTTTTAACCGATTCGCATCCATCCATAGTTTAATAGAAGATGCATTGTCTTCCAAGACTTTGTATCGCTATTCTTTCCTGATCTATGTTGCTTGCACAGAAAGATTTCCGAAGTGCATGGTCATCTGCGTATCCAGGTATCCCTATGTCACAACTCACTTCCTTTTCCATTGTTGAGGCATACGCTAGATACAGCACGGGGCCTGCACACGATCCCTGGGGAATTGAGTACTGATCTCCGACATTTACAACACAGCTTCTAGGTCTTAGATAGCTGTCGAACCATTGTAGCGCGTCTGACTGGATTCCAAAGTTTACCTTGAGGACATCAAGTAGCACCTCATGGTCCACTGTGTCGAATGCGGTAAGTAATTGGCTTGATAACCGACATTAAAAGCTGTAAAGCGGTGGTTCAAAACCTCGTTTTCCCTCGCTTAGATGTCGTTATATCACATTTAAAAATTATTTAACGTACCTCCACAAATATAAAGTGATAGGCGCAACTACAGTAGTTTCTCAATATTGGGTTCGATCTTTGGAGCGATATGCTTTTCTAGCAAGACTAAACAGATACGATCGTCATCTTGTCCGGTCTTCGTTTATGTACACTGTAGAATTGTTTGCACGGGATATTTTCAACTTTTTACGGTCATTCATGAGTTGTCTTTCGTGTTTGTTTCTAGAAATTCTAACAATAATTTGACGGGGCTCATTTTCTGTTTCTACCTCTGTCTTATACGGCATTTTCTTTCTCCCTACTCGATGACAATTTTCTATGTGACCGTGACCAAAACTCAGGACATACGAGTTAATAATTTCAAAGGCAACGTCGTCTACATTTTCATCTGCAATTCCACCTACTTCATGACTGTATTGCTGGAGTTCGTCTGTATCATTGATGATTTTTGGTTCTAGATCCAGTGCGCAGCTTAGTCTTCGATTTCCTCTTTATATTGAAGTTGTACCATAATGGCTGACGTTGAATGTTATTTATCACCCAATAATACATTCTACAGGAGATATCGCTTGTGTGATAAATATCATAATCTACTGCGATATCTCCTTACATGAATTTGATTGGTCAGTTAAAAAGGAAGTACTTTTTTGTATTTTCAAAGAACAGTTCATTTTTTATTTAAAGTAACTCCTTTTTTTTATTAAAAATGAATTATTTTTATTTAATTGACTTTGATGGAGACACGGGGTCAATATAAAGGACTTTGCAATGGTCGTTTGCAGAGCCTCGTTTTTTCTTACTTTATCAACTTGTGTTGATATTTTTGGATATCAAAAAAGACTCGTAGGAGGTTCTCTATATATATATTGCTATCCTTTGGTTTTAATTTACGCAATATTTGTACAATGTTTGGTTTTAAAAATAGATTTGTCACTAACACCAACTTGTTCAGTGGTTTTATGTTATTTAAGAGACAGCATGACTCATGCACTAAACCCTTAATCCAACGCAAATCGATACATCCGTTTCATTAAACATATTCCCCAGACTCATTCTGCCAAGTTAACTTATATTTCAAAATAAATGACAAGCATTACGTCTAGCTGTGTCGTTCTTTGTGAACATATTGACAGACATTCGGTAGAGTTTGAAAAGAGGCTGGCAATCTGTTTGAAACATATGGCTTGATGAGTGTTTTAAGCAAGATAAAAGTTGAGAATTCTCCCTCAGATATCACTTGCATTACTTACCATCAAGATGATTGCACCAGTTGTATTCATATGGTTATTATCAGCATCATCGCTCGCCTTGTCGGTATCTCCTACGCCGACACCCATGCCCGTGTCTTATACGGCGCCACCACCGTCACCATGTATTTGTAGAGATGGAAAGAGGATAAATCCGGGAGAGCTTCATTATGTATCAGATTGTATTTATTGTCCTTGTTCTCTAGAGTATGGTGTGGGCAGCTTTGCTGATAGTTGTCCGCCCATCGAATGTGTTGATTTTGATAATACACCGGATGATGGTATTTGCTGCCCTCCCTGTCCCAATGGTAAGATATTTATAAAACTTCAAACAAGTTACCTGTGCTTTTTTATGAATTAAGAATTTTCCAGCGTGATTTCCCTTTGTGAGTGTGAGGGTTTGGATGGCCGAATGGTTAGCACGTGCGCGCTGTATCATAAGGTCTGTCATTGAGTCAACTGGCGTGGTTAGGAGTAGGATCGCCTGTCCAACCTCGTGGGTTTTCTCCGGGTCCTCCGGTTTCCTCCCACTGCTAAAGACCCCGACGTGCCAGCGAATTATTGAAATAAAATTGAACTATGGGTTGTGTCGAGTGGACATTGAACCCCATTTCTCTCTCCCCTTTGAGAGTGAGTACAGGATTGAGGGCCTTGCAAGAACAGTGTCTAATTGATGACAAACTGCACATTTTACCTTCGTGTTATTTTTATAAAATTGTATTTGGGTTATTATTATTTAAAGATGGGTTCCCAGAAAAGTATTTATCTGGTGGTTATTTCCAATAAAAGTATGGCAATTTTGGTATATATGGAAAGTAGAGATATCCAATCTTACTAGAAAAATACTGGATTCCCCGAAAAACACTCATGGAGCGTATACAGGACAAAAATGTAAGGGTTCCCCTAATCAACAGCCCGACGATTAAGAATTTCTGCACGCGTGATGTCAAAGGTCACACGCCAACATTGAGCGCTTGAGGTACAAGTTGATAAACGCTATGAAGAGTTAGACGTGCAACACTTTCTCAGATAAAAAAGACGCGGGTAGTGGATAATCCGAGAATTTAATTAGGATTCGATATTTGTAATAAATAGTAAGCGATTAAAGACAAAATTGTCTTATGTATGCAATGGATTCTCCTCTGACTTCCAAGACGTGACGTAAACATGACCTGGTTTGATCGAATTTTAATAGCAGAGCATTCCTTCGCAATTACAATATTTGAGAAGGATTTGAAGCATAATTATAACAAATTAATTAGTTTGAATATGTTTTTAGTCCATATATACCATTAAATCACCCAGTTTGTACGCGGGAACCCATCTTTAATTTGATCGACATCTGTGTTCAACTTTTCCTTTTCAACTAATTCTCGAGTACCGACCATAGGCGTGCCCAATATCTAATAAAACACTAATTTTACTTTTCTCTTAATTGAATACCGCGAATTTGTGCTGAATTGACCTTTGATTAAACATATTGTCTGGAGCCACTCTGCTTTGTGCGACATTTGGCGTTCATACATTATACTTTGTAAATGCAGCTGCAACAGTCTGATTGGAATTTGGGTAGGCATAGACTGGAATTTCAGTTTCAAAATCATTGGACCAGTCTGAAGTTCTTTACTCACGGGCTAGAATAGCAAAAACACGCTTTTGTGGCGGTTAAGTTTTCAAAATTTTCCTAAGAAGGGGATGGCTTCCATATCCCGCGTCGGTCCGTTGGAATCAGGTAAGCCACTAACGCTCCAATTGTCGTGCACCCGAGTCCTAAATGTCGAATATATATTTGAGTCCGAAGTTAGTTGAGTCCAAAATGTCGCGGTACCGAAACGTCATGTCATGATTAACATTGATGTATTTACTTTTTATCAGGTCCCAACTGTCAGGTTCTAGTTAATGGTGTCAGATATATTATTCCTGATAATGGTACAGTGCCGTTTCGTGGAGGTACCTGCACTTGTCGTCCTTTTGACCGAACTCGATACCATACTCTAGACTATCATTTATCTATATATTCCCCTAGAACAGCAGACTGTGAACAGCCACCTCCACCACCAACATCACCCGTCAATTAATATCCCTAATCCTCCAGGTCAATCTCCTGTAATCTGGAGAACAGAGGGTTCTAATGGATATTTGACACTAAACTCGTATTGGATGACGAATTCATATACAATCAACCAATACTATTAAATACACTACTCACTATTGTACACGTCTTGTTATTTGTATAAAACAGTGTTGGTACAAAACAATCGAGACTAAACACCATACCTACAGCGTCATCTTCTATAGTACTTCCGACACCGTTAGTATTAGTCAGGCTATAGGAGCACTCGGCACACCCCAGCAGATTCCATTACTCTACATCTAGCCTCGGCTGTATGACGGTAAGTGACATGTACCTACGCCTATACAATTGCGATGCGGCACCTGTTTACTTATTAGGAAAACTTGCCGCTTTTAAAAAGAAGTTATCAAAATTGCGTCGTTCGAAGCGTGTTTAGAATTTTAAGTGCAAAATTGTCCTTGTTTGAAGAAAATCGGATAAACTTGAAAGAAAAACAGCGTTAGACTTTGAAATATTTGTATGATAAAACATTCTTCAAAGACGTCGTCATGGTCAACGCCTTTAGTAATCCGAGAACTTGAAAGTAGTTCTAATGTAAGGTACTGGAATATGCTGAGGTTTGCCGAGTTGCTATACGAGATAGATACACGTACTAAACACCATAACTATGTGATACAGTACTCCCGTTCTGAAATCTATCAACTATCCAACGTAACTTAACACCGTAACGATGTCATACCGAGTTTGTCCAGACTTATGCTGTAATCGTTACCGCTTGAAATATGGTGTTTCCCAGTTGGAAGTAGTAAATACCGTAATTACTGTGTTCGGGTGGACAAGTGGGAAAATCAACATGGCTGTGATTATGAAATAAATTCTTATTTGCCAAATGATAATGGTTTTTACTAAAATACGATTCCTCTATGATTTACATTATATTATTTAAAAATATATTATGTTAGTCCACCGATATCTATAATTAGGGTACACTAGTCCGCGGGTTCATTAGTCCACCGATATCTATAATTAGGGTACACTAGTCCGCGGGTTCATTAGTCCACCGATATCTATAATTAGGGTACACTAGTCCGCGGGTTCATTAGTCCACCGATATCTATTATACTCTTAAAAAAACGTAGGGGATATCCAGAAACATTACAAAACTGCGGAAATGCACTGCTGTTTTTATTAGAGGTGACCATTGTATATTAAAAACCGGCCAATTGCCTACACATGAACATAAACAGTTCATATGGGCGGCTAACCTGACGGTCCCATTTCACTCGCAAAGGGATACACTGTCAAAAGTGAAAATGGACGTTTTTTATTTTTGTGTTAATGAGTAATTGCTCCACCAATCCTCAGACATTCAGCAATTCGTCGTGGCATGCTCCTAATCAACCGTCCAAACACGATTTGGGGCAATCTGACCCACTCCTCTTGCAGTGCCACGGCCAATTCTTAGTGTTGACGTTGACGAACACGTCTCCCGATCAAATTAAACGTAACACACTAAAGCAAAGGTCCAAACACGATTTGGGGCAATCTGACCCACTCCTCTTGCAGTGCCACAGCCAATTCTTAGTGTTGACGTTGACGAACACGTCTCCCGATCAAATTAAACGTAACACACTAAAGCAAAGCTACGCTAAACAGTAAATCTTATGCTGGATAAACCAGCAGGCGGCAGTTTTCAGCAACCCTTCCTGGTAGTGTCAAATTTGACAATGAACCCCTAATATTTGTATGGCGCTATTGCATGACGCATATGTGCAGCTCAGTGGTTCTGTTCGGGCGGTACGTTCTTCATCCGTGAACATACTCTCAAAGCATATCAAGCGTCCATGACTATTTATCACATCACAACCTGCATAGGTATTTGCATTTCAATATCCCCTCCTTTTTTGAAAAGTTTATTAAGTTTAGGGATCGGGTTAGGTTGGGGTTTTTTAATACCCATATTTATAGTATTTCCTATAGCGGTGGGCTAATGAAACCGTGGACTAGTGAACCCCTATCGTTCCACCTAACGACGTTTAGCTGTGTCGGTCTTTATGAACAGATTGACAAATCGTTTGAAACATACAATTGTCTTGAACAAGATAAAAGCTACGAATTCTTCCCTTGATAACTTACCATCAAAATGATAGCACCATATGGCTATTATCGGCATCGTCGCTAGCCATGTCGGTATCGTCTACAGCGCCACCACAACTGCAGCCAAGTATTTGTCGAGATGAAACGGTGATATAGCCCGGACAGAAGCATTCCGAAACAGATTGCGGTACGTGACAATGTTCTGAATATTATGGTGCCGCCAGTTTTCTTATTTTTTGTCTCCCCTTTGATAATATACCGAATGATGGCATTTGCTGCCCAAAATGTCAAGTTTGTTTTATGATATAAATCCAGTTATCCACGCTTTTTATGAATTGGCATCTTTTAATTGAACGGATAACGTACTACAGTTCACTTGTAACAACCGTATGCTTTCAATTTGATTATAACGCATAGCTTCCTACAGCAAAAATCATCAGTAACAATCGTATACTGTTTAATTGTACGGCAGATTTAATTCCTTTCAGATGACTGCAGGAACGTTCACCTGCCCAAATTTCTAAACCTTGGGTAATCCGCCACAGTGCATATCCAAGGTGATATGTTATGAAATGGGGTTTAACGTCCCACTGTTCTGCTCCAACTGGGCTAATGAAGACGGATATATCCAAGGTAAACATATACTAAACATCTGATGAAATGGGGTTTAACATCCTACTGTTCTGCTCCATACAGTGTACTATAAGAGAATTTTACCCGGACAGCGGCACTAGGGCCTACTCTTATATCGAATTCCAACTGCCAAGAACACTAGGACGTTAAACCCCATTTCATTTCAACTGCCAAAAAATCTTTTACGTGCGCGCCAATGTGTACACGGGACCTCGGTTTTAGTTCCATCCGAACGACTAGACAGCTGACAAGAGGAAACCACGCCGGACAATTCCGATGAAACGATACTCTGGAAGACTGGTTTTCAATTGCCTGAATATTCATAAACATTTTTAAGTAATTAAATAGAGGGGCGGATATGTGAAATAGGCGTGCACTTCCTTAAAGAAGCATGAAAATTTGGTCTTTGCGTCTTGGAATTCTGTAGCGATTTCTCGGACACGGGTATCAATGGACATTTTTTCTGCTTTGTGAAAATCTCCCGTGGTTTCATCACGTCTGTATCCATGGGACATGCTGAAGTGGTTGAAGGTGTTTTTTATCCGGTGATTTGGTCGTGTTCACGTAAGCCTTACCTTGCAGCTTCCTGGCTCTCTCCACTTTTGCTGCATTACACAACTTTTATGCCATCTAGCTTTATGCTTTGCTATCGTTTTTTCAATGCTATGACCATCATCTAGTCAGGATATGTTTATATGTATGTAAGGGAACTTTGTTCAATTCATAAAAGGCGGATAAATTAGTGGCCAGAGACGAGTAACGTGTTGCTGATGGGGTTATGAGTGTTCCACCATGTTCTTGACACAGCGCACACGTGTCCCAGTTGGTCCGTTCAACAGATATAACTGTAGCACATGCGCAAGGAGCGAGTTTAAGTCTTTTGGACGTGACAGGTGGTTGACTATATGATCATCACTTGTTTCTAAAAAAATAGAATGATACTGATATCTTGTTAAAATGTAGTTTTACTGAATATATCGGGTTTATGAAGAAAATTTAGACGTTTATTGAATATTTTTACAACACTATCGTGTGCATATATAACATAGGGATCGACATGAAATGTGGACTGTTTGTGTTTGAAGAGTAATAGCTAGTTTCCACTAAAATGGAACATACTGAATTCTTGACATCCGTTTTGCAAAGGAAAATGATGTGCAAATAATACACCCGTTCGATTAGAATTATGACCATTTTTAGAAAACACTTATGAAGGAGAACGTAGGTATAACATCAATATCATTGAAATCGGTGAACAGCCATTTTGAATTTCTCAATTTTTGGCGGAAACGGCTGGAGTGACGTCGTGGTTCCCGCCATTTTTAAAATCAGCATATCCAAAAAACCCCTAGACCAAATTTTCATCCTTCTTCCGGAAGTCCACAACTCGACCAAAAATGTTACATGTCCGCCACACTAAAACTGAAATATTGGTGTCTGAAATGTGTCCGGTGTTCGTCAGTATGTACCTTTAACACTGTGAAGTCTAAGTAACTGTGTAACACGACCGTTGACGTACCGTTTTCGAAACTATATACTAGATATAGATATGACATATGCTTGAAATATTAATTTCAGGCTTTACTGGAAAGGAGAATAATATAACCAATTTCGCCAGTCGCGTTACTATATTTGGGCATGCCATATCTGGAGTATTGTTGTGTAACAACGGCTTTTACACCTGACAATTTTAAGAAAGGCGCTGTCAACTATAAACAAGGGTTTCTGCCTGTATTCCGCCTTGGGTGTTGTATAAGTTGTCAATATGACCAGATGTTTATGCATTAGATTGTCTTACCTGTTCCATGTATAAAAATACAATTGCCAGAATGTCCCGTATGTTTGCGCAAGAGCTTTCGACAACACCGCTTCACATACACTGATCAATACCATTGCGCCACGATATTAAATTAATCCATTGGGTCTTGTAGGAATGGAGATCTCGCATTTGTGATAACCATGAATGTAATAAAGGAACGTTCTCTTGCTTTTGTGATTTCTATCTTATCAAGTCAGCAGCCATACTTACAACCGATAGTTGATTCATGTAATGTCCGTTGTCTTGTAAAGTAATATGTACAAAAAGCTTATGGTATTACGTAATAGCCAGCTGTGTAATCATCTGACGGAGTCCTGCCGAATGCTCTCTCAACACGCGTTAACTTTAAGGAGTCATTTAATTATACAAGAATACATGTGAAATGAAATGAAATGGGGTTAAACGTCCTACTGTTCTGCTCCTAACCTGGGCTAATGAAGACGGGCATACGCCATACAGTGTGCTATGAGTGTAATTTTGCCCGGGCAAGGGCGCTACAGCCTACTCTTATATCGAATTCCAACTGCCAAGGGATCTTTTACGTGCACGCCAATGTGTACACGGGACCTCGGTTTTTCGTCCCATCGTCCTGTATCACTAACCCATATTCTTCACTTCACCATGAATATGAGCCTAGTATCAAACCTATGGCACGCCCGCCTCCTTCTGCAAATAAAAATCTGGATCGTGTCCAAAAAATGAGCAGGAGGGAAGTCGTAAAACAGTAACGAGAATTTATTTATTGAATATGAGAAAGATGAATGTTAATGTTTTTATGAATCCTAGCCATTAGCTCTTAGATGTAATGCTGATCAGTTACTCTGTTTCGGATATTCAGACATCTGCAGTTTTACAGGAGTCTTCATAACCTATTGAAATTAAAAGACTAATGAACAGGGCGAAATACTTCGAAAAAGAATTTTACTGTTTCAAGAGTATTGTAACTGCTTTATTAAGAAAGCCAATTTAGAATTCAAGCCGTTCTTAGGTCAGATAAAAAAGTTTAATTTTATACAGGAATTCAAACACTGACAAGTCATGCATGAACACATATTTCAGATAAAGGTACTAAGGAGGGTGTGCAACCCTATTCGTTACAAGAGGTAAGCTAGCAGAGCCAAAGAACTCTTAATCATAGAAGAAACAGTATAATGACAATGACGAAACTGCGCATTGGCACCCTCAATGAAGATTTATCTGATCGATTTGGGGAGTCTTGTACATCAGTGCCAAATGATATACAACATGAACACATATATAAGATACAAGGTACTCAGCAAGGTGTGCAAACCTTTTCGTTACAAGAGGTACGCTTGCAGGGTCAAAGAATTCTTACACATTATCATGACAATGACGAAACTGCGTATTGGTACCCTCAGTGTCAAATGCTATCAACATGGATCACATTTTTGTTTCTATCAAAATAGGTAGGGTCACATCTTTTCAATCCTGCAATCAAAGTAGTGAGAGAAATCTACCCAACCAACCACCCACGCACATACCCTCTGGCAGAAATCCTAAGTTTTTTCAGAGCTCGGCATATTACTGATGTACATGACGTGATAAATATATCCTACTAAATTCTGGGTTCGTTGACAGGCGTTCCCTAATTAGTGAGGTACTTACACTTCTAAGTGCTGAATTGATGTTGCCTCTATGGAGGGGCTCTCGTGGACGGTAGAGTGACCAAGGTATCTGCAAAAAGGGCCATACGATGAGTCTCGACACAAACTAAGTCATCGGGAGTTGATTATGGGATTGTCATGTTATATGTCTAATTAATAATTAATCATTTATGGAACATTTAAGGCCCAAAGAAAGACCTGAAATAGCTAATTGTAGCTCTTGAATAATTTCAACTCAGTAATTGTTTATCCATTGTTCCTGGTGTTATGAAAATGCAAACTAGAATTGGGTACATCATTACAGATTAAGGTTAAGTAAAACTTTTTGAGTTAAATGTAGAATTATCATCAGTCTTTAGACAGCAGCAGTTAAACCCTGATTATGTATGTTACACTTATATTATAATCTAGTGTTATCGAGTTGCGGAGTAGGGCCAACCCTGGATTAACCATTAAGTCAATCCAGCAAACCCTTTTGGGCACAGATGTAAATCAGGGATGATATACGGCTTTGGGTGGCACCACAGCGTTCCTTACTATAGCGGCATAAATATGGCGGAAATCCCATGAATAAATAAGGCTAAAGAAACGTTAGGGGTAGCAATAAATATCTTAAAAGCTGGTTGTTGCATTTTAATATCTTTTCGATAACATTGTTGGGCATTTTTATGTACATGAAAGTAGAATAAAATGCAACTAACCTCGACTGTACTCTTTCAAAGTCTTGTCGGATCGCAAGACCGCTTGTGTGTATACGGCCTTATGCATGCAACTTTCAGTAGCCCCAAACAGCATCCCAGTGCGAGGGCGACATAAGAACCCCTCTCTCTGTCTCGCGCTGTAATAACATGCATTATTCAACTAACGAAGTCACAATCTAATCGGATGACAAGACCGCTTGTGTTTATGCCGCCTTATTCATGCAACTTTCAGTAGCACCAAACCGCATCCCAGTGCGAGGGCAACATAACCCCCCCCCCCTGTCTGTCTGTCTTTCTTTTATCTCTCGCTTTAAGCCACCCAATCTCATTTTAAACCAACGGACAACCATCAAGCTTAGTCCTGGCAATAGATTTAAAGAAGAATAACAATAAAATGCATTAGAAACGACGTCATGAATTTTAGAATTGATATATTAGTGTTGTACATTTCAATTGTTATTTACAACTAGACGTCATGAGTTTTAGAATTGATATATTGGTGTTGTACATTTCAATTGTTATTTTCAACTAGACCACATGGATTGTAGACTGTTTCAATGGCATTTAGTAATTGAACTAGAGTATACAGGTCACAATTCTATGGAATACAATTACTGCTTTTTACTGAGCAACGTTTCGACTAGGCTTCTCTAGTCATTATCAAGCTATGATAAAAAATGAAAATATGACAGGACAATATATACATGTATAACTATAACATCCAGTGAAGTACCACTCAATATTTTAAATCGTCAGCCTTCAGGGGACTATTGATCATTTGTGCAGTCATTGTTCAAAGAATGATATGCATTATTACACCTAAACACGGCATGGGTTGTCATAATCTGTATAGAATGACAGATATAAATTTGAATTTGGAAACAAAGAGATTGGCAGCATGTAGCATATGGCTTGATAAAACGAAGGGTTTAAAGTCCTACCTGTCTGCACCGGCTGGTATATATGAATTAATGATGCTCTTGAGTAATATAAAAGGAGCCGCTAGCTTTACCTGATAAACACTTGCGTTACTTACGAACAAGATGATTTCTCAAATTGTATTGGTATCGCTTTTATCAGCATCTTCGCTGGCCATGCCTTCATCACCACTACCTCCTTGCATCTGTAGTGATGGAACGGGCATATATCCGGGACAGACTCATAACGTCACAGACTGTGATATATGTAAATGTAACGAACAAGACGGTGTATCCACTGATCATATCAACTGTTCCCTTCCAGGGTGTGTTAAACCGTATTCTGTAGAAGGAGATGGAGTATGCTGTCCATCCTGTCCTAAAGGTAACTTATACTTATTTTGTGGAACTTCAACTTCTGCATTTAAATCACTAGCATGTGGCCAGTCTTTAAGTCAATTATTTGCCCAACCGGGGTTTTTCTTGTAAACTACTGGATCTTTTAAAAGATACAAATTTGTATCGGTAATTTTAATATAATTGTGTACATGAAGTTGTGATTTTTATTTTTAATTATTTAATATACTGTGATATTTGTTTTATTTATGTACATAATATAGGGATTTTACGGCGTGGTTTGCCCTTGTCAGTGGTGCACGACGGAGGGCTTTATTTTTAAGGAGGGGATAACTCTGAAGAGTTCAGCCGTTCTACTACTGTTATAGACTAGAAATAGCAGAAAACCACGGAGATTAAATTATCTGGATATCTAACACATTTAAAGAAAACGCGATTTTCATAAATTCGGTCTTTATTATTATAAATATGATTAGTTTTCGTTTGAAGAAAATGAAACTGTCAGAAACTTAACAACAAAATTAAATCACTTTGGCTATCGCCACTGATCGCCATTTTTTCTCTTTGCTCTTTTTTATTTCATTTAACTGCGCAGTTTAGTCGACATGTTTCCATTACAAAGTATGCAACAATTCTGATGAATCTGCCCATTCATATTTAAGTTACGAGAAAACCTCAGAGATTAAATTATTTTGAAATCAGCGTATATTGATGTATTAACACAGATAAGCAAATTTTTAATGAATTAAGTGAATAGAAGACATTCTTATAACGGCATTTCAAATAGACGCCTTATTGTATTATCAGCACATAGCATTTAATCGTTTCGTTGTGAATTTTCCGGTCGTTCTAATTTTTACAACAGAATAAAATATACGCGGAAAATAAATCAATCATTTTCGCCATTTTTTGAAGAATCAAAGACACCGTTTCTTTCAGTTATATATGCATTATGTAAGCGCTTGACGTTGCTATTATGGGGGGTTGGATGGTCGAATGGTTAGCACGTGTGCGCTATATCATAAGGCTTGTCATTGAGTCAACTGGCGTGGTTTCGAATCCCCGGTTGTTCGTGACAAGGAGTAGGGTCGCCATTCCAACCTCGTGGGTTTTCTCCGGGTCCTCCGGTTTTCCCCCACTGCTAAAGACCCCTACGCGCAAGCGAATTATTAATGTAAAATTAAACCATATGTTAGTCCCGAAATGACCTAGTTTATGTCGGGTGGACTTTAAACCACATTTCTCTCTCTCTCTCTTGCCATTATAGTTAAAAAAAATAATGAAAAACGAATAAAGTGAAATTGCTTTATATGACTGAAGACATGGCGTAGACGTTTATTATCGTAGCCTAGATCTTGTTCATTTTATCGTTATTTTTTAATCCTTTTAAATCCCGACCACCCGATGATGTAGGGAGTAGATTACAGGCTTACCATGTTAATAAATGCCTAAAAAAATAATTATGTAACATTTGAAGCCAACAGAAAGACCTGCAGTAGGGAGATTCAGCTCTTATGGAATGCATCTTTTAAAAAGGTTATGACCCTACCTGTTCGTATGTCCATTACTTCTATAGATCCAATAGGAGGGATGAGGTTGATTTGTGTCGCTCTCGTATAGGCCATACGTTTTTAACTCACATTTTCATTTTACAACGAGAGCCTCAGCCAGAGTGTGAACACTATCAAGTTCCTTTGACAGTTAAATACATTCTGATTGAGTGCAAGCATCTCAAAGATGTAAGATCGCCTTTTACCGTTGTTAGTCATTACATCACATGTTTGCCCAACCGGTGTTATATGGTAAAGTGTTTTTAATAGCATATCAAGAATTTAAGTCATCAACAAATCGTCTCATTTATGGTCGCTGGCAACGGCCATGGAATATTACAGGCACAAACAAACTTCATCACATCAAGCCTCTTCTTGGAGATTGGCCCAACTCCTATAGTACCAACAGGGGGGATGGAGTTGTTTTGTGTCGCTCTCGCATTGGTCATACGTTTTAGCACATTTTTCATCTTAAAGCGAGGACCTCAACCCGAATATGAACACTGTCAAGTGCCTTTGACGGTGAAGCACATTTTGATTAAGGTTAAGACCCTTAACATTTTAAAAGAGACAAAATTTTATTATAAGTTTTAATTGTTTATATTCATAAAGTATTTGATATTTACTTTTAATTTATATATTATCTGCGATATTTATTTTTATTTATGGATACAAGTATTCTCTGATTTCTTTTATTTTGTCTCGAGTAATTTTACCATGTTTGTCTCAATATATTCCAGTTGGAGCTGACGTGCCATTAAGCCACATCCCATTTCATTTTGTTGTGCATTTTAGGTCCAGATTGTGAAGCTATCGGTGGTCCAGAACAAATCAACCCAATCATAATTCCGGCAGATGGTGAAGTACATTATCTTCTAGGTTATGCGTGTTCATGCAATGGTCCTAGTCCAGCCAATGCAAGTTGTTTTCCATACTCAGGCCCAACATGTCCTTGTAGTAACCGACAATGGACAATTCCAGGGCGCCCGCTGTATATATCAGACTGTGATGTATGCACATGTGAAGAAGATTACAACCGGTATGATTCTTATCCTTGTCATTCCCTTCCCTGTGTTGATCCATTCAGTGTAGAGGGTGATGGTATTTGTTGCCCATATTGTCCTAATGGTAAGTTATAGACAACACTTAACGTTATCTACTTTTAATTTATTTTTGTGTTTGCTGTCCTAACAGAGGACCGGGCAAGGAACAACGTATAGTGATTCAGATGGGACGCTGGCTCGTGTACACATTGTATTGGTGGGTGGGTCCCCTTTGTCTCCTGGCAACCAATATTTTCAGACCCATTGCGTCACTGTCGGGGACTACTTGTCGAGCTGTATAATTTCCGTTATCCAAAAAGGGCCTGACAAGAACAGCTGTCTAGTCTTTCGAAAGGGACGAAAAACCGAGGTCCCGTGTACACATTGGCGTGCATGTAACAGATCCCTTGTCAGTTGGAATTCGATATAAGAGTAGGTCGTAGTGCCGCTGTCCGGTCAAAATGTCTCTCATAGCACACTACGGCGCCCGCCTGTCTTCATTAGCCCAGTCTGTGCAGAATAGTAGGACGTTAAACCCCATTTCATTTCGTTGATCCTTTCATTAGCTTGTTTTCCGGCTAATTGAATAATGGTGGGGTATAAATTATGCATTGACTGGTGTTATGGAACACCTTGTACAACTTTTCAATCCTTTCATGGCGGCGTTACGGCCTTCGACCTTTCAGACTCCACACAAACGACGGTTCGGATTGAGTGTTGATTGATTTTCTGATGTTTGTTTTAACAGATAATTGTCAACCCTCGAACATTCCAAACAGTAAAACTTCTTTTCACATAATAATATTATGTTAGGATTATCGGATAATCAACTTTAACAACTCTGCTTTAATCGTTGCGAATTTAATATTTCTGAAAAGACCATTACATTCTATTCACTATATTTATCGATTTGTACTGCCTTTCATTAAAAGCTGAGTGTGGAATACATGTCCAAATTTTGCAGCTTGTTTACGTTTTATCCATCAAAGTCGTGTTAAGAGCAGTTTTTTTTATATATTTATCCTTATTATACGCCAACATTTTCATGTGGACGTATATTGTGGACACTGTACAGGTCACATTTTTTATCCGATTTTGACGAAACTTAAAATAAATCAGTCCCTAGAGGTCACAACGTTTATCATAATGTCGGTTAAGTTTGAATTTCGTGAAAGTCGAACCAAAACTGCCGGACAAAATGGCCGCCCGTCTTACACATATAGTGTAAAAATATAGTATAGTCTAGAGGTCACAATTTTGATTCAATGTTGATGAAACTTTAAATTTATGTTTATATCACAACGATCTCAGTTCCTTTCGATAATCGCGCATATCCGAATGTAACCTCCTGAATTGGGGCCCCTGGTTGTTCTACAAATCGTATTTTTAGCTTGTGGACCTGCTAGAAGTCACAATTTGTATTCAATTTTAACAGCCGCCTCAATATATCACCTTTCCACATCAATGAAGGTTGGTTTGGAATTTCGTAAAAATCTGACTGAAACCGCCGGACAAAATGGCTGCTCCTAGTACGCCAATACCAAGGTTGTGGACCCCCTAGAAGTCACAACGTTTATCCGATTTAGATGAAACTTAAAATATATGTTTATAACCCAAAGATCGTGGTTTCAATCGATTTCATACCATAACTTCTTGGGTTATAGCTCCTGATTGTACGAAAAATCGCTTTTTAGTTTAGCTTGTTCTCTATTCATCTCCTGCAAAATGTCGGTGTATCTTGCCTGGCAACCGCTGGTTTTAAAAAGGATAAATATATTTGAATTGAAATGTATATTACTTTCACGAGAAGCGAACATTATCAAAGTGCAGCTAATGCTTTATTGTTTGATGAAGCCTTTTAACGATATACGTCATGTTAATAATATTTTCTTTCATGTTTTGAGCCTATTTCAAATAAATTAATCGGGTTTTCTTTTCTATATTAAATATACAAAAATACTACAGACATATATAAAATTGTAAACAATAAACACTGGAAATATTGCCATTCCTACAAGTTTAGACAGTGCATTGTCCCCGTGCTGCACTGGATGACAAGCGGTAAATTTTACCTGCGTGAAATTTTTTAAAAAGTCGTTTTGGGTTTATTATTAACTGATTTTTTAGTCCCAACTGTCGTGAGCCAGAAACGTCACGACACGTATCCGAGTCCGAAACGTCCAGTATATATTTTGTTGGGTCCTAAATGTAGCCATTTCGAAATGTCGCGGGACCGAAACGTCATGTAATTATTTAAATGAATGTATATTATTTTTTAACAGGTCCTAACTGTGAACATTTTACTCATGATGGAGTCCGACATATTATTCCTGATAATGGTACCATACCTGTCCCTGGAGGTCCCTGTTATTGTACTCCTTGGGACCATAGTGGCTATATGCCAAGAACAGCACAATGTGACCCCCCACTACCACCCGTCTCCCCCACCAGCTTCTAGATGGTTGATACGTCAACAAAATCCGTTTGTATTAATTCACTATTAAACCGTACACCTCTAGGTAAACCATATTTACTCTCGAGGTTTTATTGACACCATATTCATATTGGATGACGTACACCTGTACTATCAACTGATGATCTGTTAACTAGTCTCTTTCAGCGCTCTTTTAGTTATCTGTCCCTGTTTTATGGTATATTATTCTACCATTTAGTTAAAAATTTTGTACATCTTTATATTTTTTAAAGAACAACTTAACCACGTTTATTTAAACAAGTTTTTAACTGACTGTATATCCAACTTGTCCATAATTTTGATTTTATGATTATATTGTCATTTTGTAAAATGATGTGAAAAGGCGCACTATAATTAATATGCTGTAATAATAATAATAATATATACTGCTCACTGTACTGTAAACCCTAAAGGACAGGGGGGTCTAGGGGATATTTGAATTCGATACGCATATTTGATGAAGTACTCATGTACAATAACATGATACGATTAAATAGACCACTCTTTGTTGTACAGTCTTGTTATTTGTTGTTGGTAACAGTAGGACGTTAAACCCCATTTCATTTCTATTTGTCATTGGTATGAAATAAATAAATCCGATGAAAATTATCGAGACTAAACACCATACTATAGAGTCGTGTCCTATAGCAATTCCGATACCCTAGCCACTCAGGACCGATACTAACACAACAAAAATGTGACATAGAACTTCCGGTCTGAAACTGATCAACTGTCGAGTTTTTCCAATAGCACATCTTAGTCCTGAAATGACCCAGTTGTTTTGGGTTCCCTTTAAAACACAACTATCCTGTCCTCTCGTCTCGCGCGGGGGGGGGGGGGGTGGCCGAATGGTTAGCACATGCGCGCTGTATCATAAGGCCTGTCATTGAGTCAACTGGCGTGGTTTCGAATCCCTGATTGTACGTGACAAGGAGTGGGGTGGCCTGTCAAACCTCGTGGGTTTTCTCCGGTTCCTCCGGTTTCCTACCACTGCTAAAGACCCTACGCGCAAGCGAATTATTGAAATAAAATTAAACCATATTGTTAGTTCCTCAATGACCTAGTTTGTGTCGAGTGGACGTTAAGCCCCATCTCTCTCTCTCTGCTCCGAATCAGGAGCGGTATCAATGTGAAGAAACCTGACACGTTGACATGACCAGTTCAGACGATCTGATGCATAAACAGCGACTTGCAAATCCTTTGTAAATAATTGGCCGAGAAAGTTCATCCAGATTTTCCGTCGTGGTCTTGTCAGTGATGCAGGACGGAGGGCCTGATAAGGACAGCTGTCTAGTCTTTTTGTTTAAACAATATTTTATGAATTTGAAAAGGATTGAACAACAGACAAAGTTCTTTCCTAAGAACTTTTTACAAGTTCTTTCGGATGGGACGATAAACCGAGGCACCGTGTACAGATTGGCGTGCACGTAAAAGATCCCTTGACAGTTTGAATTCGATATAGGAGTAGGATGTAGTGCCGCTGTCCGGGCAGAATTTTCCTCATAGCTCACTGTATGGCGTATGCCCGTCTTCATTAGCCCAGTTCGGAGCAAAACAATAAGACGGTAAACCTGTATTTCATTTCATTTGTTTGTAAATAAAAGATCTTTCCAGACGCTACAGTTGTGTTGAACGGGCAACATTTCCCTCATAGCATACTGAATGACGTATGCCCGTCTACATTAGCCCAGTTCGGAGCAGAACAGTTGGACGTTACCCCCCCCCCCCCCCGCCCATTTCATTTTGGCGCTTTGAGCATGCATTTTAAATATACACTATTACCACTTCGCCAACCACAGTTGTCAGCATTGTATCTAAACTCACATTCCTAGAAATAGCATTAGAACCGCTGGCTGCTCTAGTTGAATGCCGTGTAAAAATAGTCAAAATCTTTTCCAGCTAATTGTAACACTGTTTTCGTCCAACGACTTGAGTATTTGACCGAGAATTTTCCAACTGATAATTGTGTAATATCGCTCCTCAATGATTCACTTCCATGTAAATATTTTCGTAAACATGTAACTACACACAAATCGAATTCTTCCGACAAAGAAGGAAAACTTATCTCCCCTAGATGCTCTCGTTGTTTACAGGTTATAAAGACATCACCAATTCCAAAAATTGTCCAATGTTTATTTCTTATGTTAAGACTGAATAAATTTAAATATCCAAGATACACTATATCTGGCCAAAGCAGGCCTTTTATTGAACACCCCTTACATAATATGTTCTGAATAGCTCTTTTGCTATTCACTGCAGAATTGACAAGTTGTGTCATTGTTACTGCCCCTTTAATTTATATTTATAGAGCGTTTAACTTTTGTCTGCCAACTTAGATTTTTAGCCAATCAGAGCATTTTCTCGTCAAACGTCATTTGTTTCATGGTCGCCATTGTTCTATGCATTCTTGAAGTTACGTCTTAATTATGTCCATTTATTTGAGCTTCAATCATTTTGGGACGGGATGATCACTAATTCCAGGTAGCATTTTATCTTTGTCATACATTGTCATGTTGTTTTACCGCTGCCATAGTCTATTTATGTGCGCATGCGTGTAGGTCGGATGTCCCCCAAATGAGCTCTCAATTTTTTTTTATCGGAAAATAACTAATATTGGTAATATTTAAGTGTGCTAGAACATCAGTAATGTGCAGAATCATTCTAAAGTTACTGCTCCTCCAGCGGATTATAAAATATTCAGGAATTTAGGTGCTATCCCTCTCCTTTTGGACTTGTTTTTCCTTCAACATCTCAGCGATCATCTGCAGGCAGGCGGATACAAGATGGCCGCCCCCAGGAAAATGAACCTAAATATTACTTTTTGTGCTTTAGTAGTCTTCATAATTGCTATATCTTGCAAACATGTTAAGTTGTATGTATCATTTAATGAGACAATTAAAGTGAACAGTTTACTGAACTTTGGAACTTCATTGAAACTTAATAATTGGCAGCGCCAGCTACACCCAAAAAACAATGCGAAGCTATGTACACTGATATATTTGCTCATACTACAATCAGGTGATATTGAGGCAAACCCAGGACCTGTTAAGTACCCATGTGGAATTTGTAACAAAAATGTAGCCTGGAACGCGAAAGCTATCCAGTGCGACGGTTGTGACATTTGGTACCACGCAAAATGTGCTGATATAGGACCGGACTCATTTAAAGCACTGACACACTCAAACGTTTCATGGATTTGTACACACTGCGGGATACCAAACCTCTCGTCAAGTCACTGCATAGACATAAACAGTTTTGCAGCAAGAAACCCATTTGACACGCACCAAACAGAGAGCTATTCCAAAGAAGATAGGAACGAAGCATCAAACCCATTGAGTAACGAAGTCTACGCATCTACCCCTAAGCGCGGTAACATCACACAGGACCGAGTACCAAACATCTCTCAGATCACAATCGAAACACCATCATCACACACAGGCAGTTTCGAAAGCGAACAAACTTCATCATACCTTGGAGGCTCACACCGTGCCTCAGTTACAAGTACATCCATCGGCGAAACCCCTCCAAACACTTCCAGTTATACAGACAAAAATAATCTCAAACTTCTGATTATAAACTTTCAAAGTGTTCGAAATAAAAGGACAGATCTTTATAATATCATTTCAAGCTGTGCACCTGACATAATTATAGGGTCAGAGACACACACTGATAGCGATTTTCATAATGCAGAACTATTACCACGAAACATCCCAGATGAACATAAATACCAAATATTTAGGAAAGATAGAAAAGAACTCGTAAATAAAAATGGTGGAGGCGTCATGATCATGGTCCGTCCTGAACTACCAGCCGAGGAATGTGTAGATCTAGACTCAAATTGCGAAATAAAGTGGGCCAAAGTCTCCACATCAAACAAGGAGACTATACTCATAGGCGCTTACTATAGGGAACCCAAATCTAAAGTTGATGAACTAGACAGGTCATTATCCTTAATACAAAATGAGTCAGCATATAGAAATATGAAAATATTCATAGGAGGCGATTTCAACCTCGGCGATATAGATTGGGAAGTAGGTCGCTCGATGGTTGGAGCAAGGGACAAGGTCCATTGTGATAAGATCCTTCAAATAAGCTCTAACTACTTACTTGAACAGATCAACACTCTTCCTACCCGTCAAGGTCGTATTCTGGACCTATTATTCACCAGCCACCCAAGCCTTATCCAGAGATATATTACAATCCCACCTATAGGTCGAAGTGACCATGACATTCTATCCGTGACGACCAACATAAAACCAGTTATAAATAAAAAGGCACCAATAACAGTTTATAACTATAAAAAAAGCTGAATGGGACAACATACGACATATGTCAGTCTTTAGTGAAGAATACCTTCGAACATCCAACTCTAAACCCATTGAAGACAATTGGACTACTTTTAAACAAGCATTGTTCGCCTCCATGGATAAGAACATTCCAAAGAAGGTGATCAAAGGCAAACCAGATATACCTTGGATGACCCAAAAGATAAAACGTATGATACGCAAAAAACAGAAACTGTATAACACAGCCAGGAACTCACAAAGTAAAGAAGACAAAGAATCATTTAATAAATACAGGAAAACAGTAAGGAATGAACTTCATACATCATACTATAACTACATTAGTAACCTCGTAGAACCAGAAGATGATAAAGCCGGCAAAAACTTTTATAAGTACATAAAGTCAAGGAAACAAGACACCATGAGCATTGGCACCTTGAAAAGCAACGGCCGCATTGGAGACAGGACGAATGAGAAAGCTGAGATGCTTAACGAACAATTCTGCTCAGTATTTACAGAGGAGGACCTTATTAACATACCCAGCAAAGGAATGTCACCACATCCAACAATGCCGAATATTCAAGTTACAGCAAAGGGAGTGACTAACTGTATAAAATGACTTAATGTGAAGAAGGCAAGTGGTCCTGATAAGATGCCTATTATAGCATTAAAAGAAACTTCGATTGAAATAACACCTATCTTACAAAAACTATATCAGCAATCTTTAGATACCCGTGAAATACCTAAGGACTGGAAACAGGCCAACATAGTCCCAATATTTAAGAAAGGCGATAGAACCAAACCGGCTAATTATAAACCGGTGAGTCTCACTGCAGTAGTATCAAAGATGCTAGAACATATAGTAGTTTCACAGATCATGCACCACCTTGATACCATCAACATTCTACATGAAAACCAATATGGGTTCCGCTCAAAAGGATCATGCGAGTTACAACTCCTTCTCTCGACAGACGAAATCTCCCGACATATGAATCAAGGCCTACAGGTGGATATGGCGATACTCGATTTTGCGAAAGCCTTCGACAAGGTACCACATCGTAGATTGGCGGAGAAGATGTCATACTACGGGATTCGTAACAATACCCTGTCATGGGTTAGTAGCTTCCTCAGAGGACGCCTACAACAAGTGGTGATAGACGGCGAAACATCCAACCAATCCTATGTAACATCAGGCGTCCCACAAGGCACGGTGCTCGGGCCCACGCTATT